TTTTCCTGGGTATGGGATCCATCAGCCCCCATCTTTCTCTCTCTGTCTAGATCCCTGAAGGTCATAGCTAAGTAGAAAAATGAAAGCTATTGATATAGGAACAATTTACTAAAGTGGACCATTTATCAGAGAATCATATAGTAAATGAATTTAAAACTGTCTACTCAGGTTATGTATGAAGAGCTCTTTCTTATCATTCCCTGAGCCTATTAAGTTCAAGGAAGTAGCAGATATAAAATTTGTTCATTTCAAATCCAATTCAAGCTACACCTCCCTATGTGGACCTTAACATTGTTTTTATCCAATCATTTCTATTAATGTAAATAAACCTGAGTCACACAGTCTTAAAAAAAGAAGAAAACGCAATGCGCTATCACTTCAACCTACCAGAATGGCCAAAACCCCGAACACTGACAAAACCAAATGCTGGCGAGGAAGTGGAGTAACAATGACTCTCATGCATTGCTGCTTGGAATGCAAAATGATACAGCCACTTTGGAAAGCAGTTTGGCAGTTTCTTACAAAACTATACATACCCTTACTGCACAATCCAGCAATCGTGCTCCTTGGTCTCTACTCAGAGAAGTTGAAAACTTTGGTCTACACAAATACATGCAAAGGGATGTTTATAGCAGCTTTATTCATAATTGCCCAAACTTGGAAGCAACCAAGATGTTTTTTAATCAGTGAATGGATAAATAAACTGTGCTAGCCCTAGCCAGTTTTCTCAGTGGGTAGAGCATGGGCCTGTGGACCAAAGGGTCCCAGTTTTGATTCTGGTCAAGGGCACGTACCTCTGTTGCAGGCTCCTCTCCAGCCTGGGCCCTTCCCAGGGTGTATGTGGGAGGCAACCAGTTGATGTGTTTCTCTCACATTAATGTTTCTTAACTCTGTCTTTCCTTCTCTCTTCTACTCTCTCTAAAAATCAATGGAAAAGTATCCTTGAGTGAGGATTAAATAAAAGAAAAGATCAATAAACTGCTATATCCAGATAGTGAATATAATTCACTACTATATAACTCAGTACTAAAAAGAAATGAGCTATCTATCAAAACATTAAATGCATACCACTAGGTGAAAGAAGCCAATCTGTAAAGGCTACATACTTTATGATACTTTATGAGTTCAACCATATGACATTCTGGAAAAGGCAAAACCATAGAGGCAATAAAAAGATCAGTGTTTTCCAAAGGTTAGGGAGAAGGGTGGGAGGGGTGAACAGGCAGAGCACAGAGCATTTAGGATTGTGAAATTATTCTGTATGATACTATAATGATGAATACATGAGATTAAACATTTTTCAAGACCCCTAGAATGTGCAACACCAAGAGTGAACCCTAATTTAGATTATGGACTTGGGTGATAATGTGTCAGTGCAGGTTCTTCAGTTAGAACAAATGTACGGCTCTGGTGGGGGACCTTGATAATGGGGAGCCTGTGCATGCGTGAGTACATGTTTAAGAACTGTACTTTTTGCTCAATTACACTGTGAACGTAAAACTGATCTAAAAAATTAGGTCTATTTAAAGAGAGTAAAAAGGAGAGTCAGATTGAAGGACACTAACAGGTGAAAAACAACTGCACCATTTTTCCATTCATTGATAAATATTTATTAATTTACTATCACGTGCATTTTATTTTGTTATGTTTTACATATATTAGATATATAGCATTTTATTGATTTGTTTTACTTATATTAAACCTAGAATTATTTAAGATTTGATTTGAAGAATTGTGCATGATGATACTTAAGGGTGTAAGGGAAGAGAGCAAACTGGCTAAAACAAGAGCTCGCCTGCTGTATGGGGAGTGATCAATGGGAAGGATAAATGGGGTGGAGATTGCTTGCCATTTAGTGGGAGAGGGAATAAAGGTGGCCTTTCAAAGAATAGAATTTTCCCTGATAGTTTTTCAAAGAGAAGCTGTACCTCATTAATGTTTAAAATAGGTTTAGCGTCTTATAAGGGTTTAAGGTTGGATATAAGAGGAAATTAGAAGAATAAGTGTGAGGAAAAGTCAAAGGGAGGGAGGATCCAGGAGAAAAGAAGAGGGGAAATGCGGAGTGCAGCATCAGACCCCTCCACAGCCACCCAGAGTCCCTGTAAGTATAAAGACCCTGTAAGAGAATTAGAAGTCTGCCTCATGGCTTCCCTCTGGTCCTGCTGGGAGAGGGGAGGTGGCGGGAGAAGGAGGAAGAAGCTAGGACCCAACCATCACATTTCACATCCAGTGAATGTTTAAATATCAGCTCTGACTACTGTTTGGCCTCAGAAAAACTAAAGGAGGATTACCACATTCTTAGATAAATTTAACCCCAGGAAAACAAAAGTTTTTAATATTGATGATCTGGTGACCACCCCCCCCCCATAAAAACAGCAGAAAGAAAAGTTTATTGTCTTATTTGTGTTTCTCTAAGTAGATTAAAATAGAATTTAAGATTTTGCTATAAATTTGGATATATGGCATTAATTAGGGTCACACTGAATACATTGTGTTCTCATTATGCCGTTAAGAATTGATACTGCATTTGTTTTGAATTCATTTTCCCTTTAGTGCTTTGCAATAATATTTTAATAGCTTGATTCATTATGTTGTATTAATGAGAATATATTATCATAAGTTAAGAATATTAACTATAATAAATAATATAGCTAATCTATAGATAAAATAGATTTACTATACCATCTGCTTTCAATATATAACCAATTGGTTAACTGTGAGAATGGCTTTATTACCTCTTTTTCATGGTTTCATCATTATTAAGATAGCTAAACCCAGGGAATGTTTAAGTAAAGCACACACATGCAAATACACACATAGAGAAAATGACATTCATAGTTTAACTTTTTCATAAAACTGGAATATCCCTCCTGAGATATTATAATAAAGTTGATGTTATTTCCCAGCTGTATGTCAAAGACACATGTATACAGTGGTAAAAACTTTCATCTCCCTTGGATAGGTGCCAAACAGGTCCTTGGTAAAACTATAAATTGGGAAAAAGTTGTTTTCCGATCCTTTCTCTCTGTTTAAAATTAACCCAATAACCCTTTAGTCACCTTCCCTGGGTGCTGTCACCACCATAGACTGTGCAGGCACCTCAGGGAAATTAATTCCCTTGACAACCAGGTCCTCCCTCTTCCTTTCCTTGTTCTGTTCTTACAGGAAGTAAACACATTCATGCTTTCCATAGATGTGGAGTCTGTGAGTTCTAAGTATTACAACTTTTTTGTGTTTTTATTTTATTGATGGATGAAAAGAATTCCTACAGGCACATTCTGAATCATCAGCTGGCCCATCTTATATCATTTCATTTGTAAGCTGGTGTGGGAAGGTCTGCTATAGCTCCCAGAGATATTCTGACCTGGCCACAGAGGGTCTGGTCTTTTGTTTCTTTTGAAGAGGGATATTACTGGGTTTTGAAAAGCTGAGTGTTAGCTAATCTGAGAAACACTACTGTAACAAGTAATATACTCTCCCTCCTAATTCATTATTTATTGAAAATCTACTCTGTGCCCGGCCTTGCACTTAGAATAGGCATAGAGTTTATGAAACAGAAACTTGCTCTCCAAGAACATACTTCTAGCAGAAGACAGACAATAACAATAACCATAACAATGAAGTTAGAACATGACAAGTGCTATAAAGAATTCTATAACAGGTTAAATTAAAACAAGAATGCTGGATTGGGGTGGGGGGCAGGGTTCAGATTGCAGTGTTAAATACTGTGGTTGGAGTAGCTTCATAGAGACAGTGGGATTTGAGCATCTTTGAAAGATTTGGGTCATTGAGCCACGTGCCCCAGCACATATGCGGGATGAATGGGTTTTCTATAATAAGAAAACTAAGTAGGGAAGGTGCCATATTATACGCTATCATACCAAATTATAATTCTTCAGTTTCTGAGGGATATTGAAGTTAAAGAAAGAAAACAATATTACTGAATGGATTGTATTATTTTTTTCATATAAATGCAGAAATATATAAGTACAGCTTTGTACAAAATAGTCTGTATGTTAACTAGCCAGTTTTTTGCTTTAAATTTTTAAATTGGTCTAAAAAATTAAAGGGTAACACCATCTAGAAACATATTGCAATGTATGTTTTTATCAAAACATCAAAATTTTCTTTGGGTAAAAAGAACACCAAAATTGATTTTGTTGTTGCTATTAATCAAATACCTAAGTTAAGCATAACATACCTAGGTCTTAGTGTTCTGACTAGCTCTCATGGCGAGTGACTTTATTTTCTAGGTCTTGTCAGATGAAAATCCTTGTATTAAATCTTCTGGTTTCTCATTTAGCTTCTGGATCCTTTGAAATATTGGGAGCATTTCCCTATTAAGCATAATTTTAACATTTTGTACATCAGTTCTGCAGCCCTTTAAGACAGTGGTTAAATGTGGTCAGTCTTGCTCTGGCCGGTTTGGCTCAGTGGATAGAACGTCTGCCTGCGGACTGAAGGGTCCCAGGTTCGATTCCGGTCAAGGGCATGTACCTTGGTTGTGGGCACATTCCCAGTAGGAGGTGTGCAGGAGGCAGCTGATCGATGTTTCTCTCTCATTGATGTTTCTGACTCTCTATCTCTCTCCCTTCCTCTCTGTAAAAAAATCAATAAAATATATTTTTTAATTAAAAAAAATGTGGTCAGTCTTAGGAGTGAGAAGGATTCTTTTGGTCCTCTATCTGCTTCATGCCATGTGTTGTGGGCATATTTTTACAGATAGATGGGTCTGAAATCCATTAGAAAGTTAAAATCTCCTTTCCAAAATTCCATAGCTTGAAAGGAAATGCATTTGAATGTTTATCAGTAGGATGTTAAAGCAAGTAAATGCAATAAAATCTAATGAGAACACACATTTTTTTTTCTTTTTTGTTTCTGTGCCTTAATTCAGTTCAGTGCAATTAATTGTAGGAGCTACTTCACACGAAAAAAACATTTTGATTGAAGAACCGAAAGCGTCCTCTCTAAGGCACAAGGTGTGTCCTTTGCTCTTGCAGATACGGAGACAAGGAGGCATCCAGCTTCTGGTGGATCTGTTGGATCATCGGATGACAGAAGTCCACCGTAGTGCCTGCGGAGCCTTGAGAAACTTGGTGTATGGGAAGGCCAACGATGACAACAAGATTGCTCTGAAAAACTGTGGTGGCATCCCAGCGCTGGTGAGGCTACTCCGAAAGACCACCGACCTGGAGATCCGGGAGCTGGTCACAGGTTAGAATCCTTATTAACAGCATGACTGTCTCTCAAGATCAATTTCCGTTCCCCAGCATAATAGCAAATGTGGAGAGTCCTGACCTCTCCGGAGGCTAACAGCCATAGGCAGTTCAAGTAGGTGTTTGCAAATGACGAGTCAAGTGACTAAGAGCATATTCAATGTAACACTCGGAGATTGATCAATTCAATAATTATAATCCCATAAACATAACCCTCACTAAAATTCTGTGGCCATATTTCAGTCTTTGTCATTTGACTTAGTACCCACAGGTCATCATTAGAATGGCATTAATAATGATTAAAGGGACCATTGCATTCCTCACTCAAGCTCCAAGGGCCCTTCCTTTACCTCTATAACTTGTTTCCTAAGCCCATTTCTTCTATGAATTACTTCTTCTACCTCTGATTTTGTAAATAAATGTTCTCTTATAGTTTGAAAAAACAATGATGATTAAAGAGCCTGGTATCTGAGTTATTGCTAAGAAGGTATATATTCTGGTTTATACTGTGGTTAACAACAGAGAACTTATCATATTTAACAGTTCATTTCAGTTATAAAATATTTATGCCTACAAAGTCCCAAGGTTATATGGTATTAAATATTAAGGAACTTTTCAATTGTGAACATGAGAGAAAGCCTTTCCATAAACGTAGAACTTTTGAGTTTTGTAAAATAGAGAAAATTGTCAAAGCCATCTCTTAGAGCCATCAGGATTGATTAATGAGAACATGTAAAGCATTTTGCACATACCTTTCTTGGGATACATATGGACACAGTAAGCATCAGCCATTTTCTATCATCCCTCACTTTTAAAGCGTGCAGTTTTACTTGTTGGAGTGCTAACAACATTGGTGTCCTCAACATGGGATTTTAGATTGCTCTTCTTGATTATACACATGGCTGTTCTGGGTGATATTTGGGTTCATCAAACTTTCCCATTCAAGCAAGTATTTTGCCAGTGGTTTGCAAGGTTGGCTCTCAAAAGTGGATGTTTTAATTATCTAGGATTCCACTGACCTCTGACTTGGCTCTAAAATGTTCTTGTAGCTATGCTGATGAAGTCTGTGTGAATTTGTCTATTTAAGGAAGTGCAGTACTCAAGCCGGAGTTAAAAATATTTGTTCAATCTTGGTTCAAGACTCGCAGCATCAGCATCTTTTCTTAAAATGTACCTACACCCTTAAAGATTATTGTCATGTCTCTTTGCCATGATGGATCCTATTGGAAAACAACAAGCACTTTGGTCAAGCTCTACCACTCTAGAAATGGAAATCAGAAATGAGCATCTATAAGAACAGTCCAGTGTGAGACAAATCGCTTTAAGTAACAAAGTAATGACAAAGCCTTCAAAAATATCTGCACTGGCAGAAATCTGAGGGCTCCTGGAAACCGCAGGGCTCTGCTGACTTCTGCTTAGACACAGCGTCAGTGATGCACATCTAGCCAAAGCTGACTCCACTGCCTGATGCAAAAGGTAAAATGAGGCAGATGAATGCACCTCAGAGGGCCTTAGAGAGTCATGTTCGTCTTCTGCACCAGCCCGTGGTCATCTGCCAAAGTGAGCTATGAGAGCTTGGAATCAGTGGACTCCCACAGAGCTGGGGGAATCCGGTGTTTTAGTACAGACAAGCCAGTTTAACCTCAAAGTCATCCTTAGTTGTCTTTTCTCAAATGCTTTTGCATTTCTACAGGGTCAGGTATGTGCTAAGCTTTAGACTTTTGCATGTGCAGGGTTGGCGTTAGCTGACCACACCCACACAGGCATGCTGATAACTAACACCCGTGCCCACTGTGATGGGTGTGCCCTGTTCTGAATTGTCGAACCGTATGTTCCTGGCAGCTGGATATTAAAAGGGAAGTCCCTGACTTCCAAACATGTTCACATTTTGGAAACTTAACTAAATGAGCAGCAAGGGGGTTGATGGCTCTGGAGGGAGGAGCAGAGCATAAGAGTGAAGAGGCTTTCTTCATTTTTTCATTTCTGTGGTCATAAGCCGCCCCCCTTCCCCAAATCCTTTTGGGAATTAGGCTGTATATGTATGCAAAAAATTTAGAAAGCAATAGTTTAAAAGTAACAAATATCACTTCCTTCGTAATTCTCCAGTGGAACTAATACAGAGTTCAGCAAGGAGTAAGTACTGAGGACATTACAGGAGCCCCATTAGGACACACTGTGTATTAGCAAGTGCATGAAAACAAATGTGCTGAAAACATTATAGGGGGATAATGAGCTTTGAATACCTTTCTGGATATTTACAAACTAGGGTATTTTGTAAACAAACATTCAAAAGAACAATTTTAGTGTTTTTTTTTAATTAAGCATGTTTATAAACCAGATTTTAGATTAGATCTAGGTTCTATATACAGAGGAATCTAGAGTACCAAATTATAAGCAATAAAAGAAAGGAATGATATTGCATAGCTTTAAATTATTTACTGAGTATTCTTTGGCAAACTGTTTGAACAATAATAAAATATTAAAATTGAAGTATTTACATACATTTACATTCAACGCAAACATGCATGCTTTAAAAAACAGCTGCCTGTTTGCACTGCCGAATCTGTTCACAGTAGAATAGATAGTGCCCGTTAGGCCTTGCAATAAATAACTTTCTTCCTATGCCATAATTGCTGTGAGATGATGATCAGAATTTTATTAGAATCCAGTTGAAGCCATTATATGCTAGCCATTACTTGAAATGCGCCAAAGCAAATAAACTTTGATTAGAAATGCTGCATGTCCTTTGGGCTTGACTAATATAATTTTTCTCTCTGTAAATATGGAAATAATCAACCTAAATTTTGAAATGCCCAACTAAAGATTTCAGAGTGCTTTACAAATCATAATAAAACGGGTTTTATTGAACCATAAAACTTAATAAATAAGTTTTATTTTAGTTGAAAGCAAGAGTCCGTATGATTTCTACTTCGTCAAGAATGGAGTGTATTCTTTGATCTTATGCTTCGCAGACCCAAATAGTCTTTCCTTTAATTAAGGAGCCAGAGCTCACTTTACCTACTTCACTTAGTAGTTTTAGGTTAGTTGTTTAGTCTCCAAAGGGTTCTGCTATAAGTTGAACTATGTTCCCCCAAAATTCATAGGTTGAAGTGCTAACCCATAGTCCCTCAAAATGTGACTCAGATGTAATGAGTTATGTTAGCATACTAGAGGAGAGTGAACCCTTAATCAGATAAGGCTGGTGTCCTTATGGAAAGGGGAAATTTTTAACACAGATACGTACAGGGATAATGCCATGTGGAGATGAAGGCAGAGATCAAGGTGATGCTTCTACATGGCAAGGAACACCAAAGATAGCCCGAAAATCATCAGAAGCTCAGAGAGATGCATGGAACAGATTCTCCTCACAGCCCTCAAAAGAAACCAATCCTGGTGACATCTTGATTTTGGACTTGTAGCCTCCAGAACTGTGAGACAGTCAAGTTCCTGTTGTTTAAGTCATTCAGTCCGTGGTACTTAGTTATGGCAGCTCTAGGCAACAAATACAGACCTAAATCCAGACTGTGCATTCTCCTTTTCCCAGTAGTGAGCAAACACATTTACTGGTCATGGAACTAAAGCAATGCAAATAAATGTAAAACCATGATGGTTTAATAGTATCACTGTGTTTAAAATAAATGGGTCCCTATTGGTCTGATTTCTTAATTCATCTTCTTAAAGCAACTACTTGTGAAGGAATGGAAGCAGCAAAGGTGATAATTAGATACATTGCCTTCTTTTACTTTTTTCAATCAAAGTAATAGACATATATGGTCCAAAAATAAAATAGTATGAAAATGCTTATAGTGAAAATAGCAGTCCCCTGCCTCATCTGTCCTCCCAGATTCCTCACAGGCATTTGGCCTTAGCTTTTGTTTTGTTTTCCTTTGTGGTTTTTTTTTCATGGTTATTTTATGTATTTAAATAATATGTTTATTTTACTCTAATTTAAATCAATTATCATGGGCTTTTCATATTGATTTTCTATTATGATAGAGGAGAATTTTTTTTCATTTTCATCATTCATGTCTTCTATTTCTTCTTACCAAAATGGTGGGATCATTATCTTTGGTCCTTTTGCAAATTTAATCAGTAACTTTAAAGGTAAGTCTCCAGTTTTTTCATCTAACTCAGACTTTATCTCTTATCACTTATTTTGTAAGATAAGGGTGTTAGTTCTCCTATGTTTTCACCCTTCATATTCACAACCTCTGTCATCATACTTGACCTTTATATTGTTATGGTTTACTGCATTTGCCATCTCTTCTGTGACAATTGTCAATCTTCCAAGATTTTCTGTAGCTTAATTCAAGGGCTTGAAAGCCAGAGACAAGCCTTTGCATTATGGTAGAAGGGCAGATCCATGTGGGACCCAACAGTCACATTTCCCCCGACCACCATGGATCCCGTGTGATGCTTGACAAAGGAGTACATTTCTAGCATCATATCTGAGTGGATCCTCCACCAACTATGATGCCTTTCAACTCAACTTTGTCCATGATTTCAATCATCATCAATTCCAAAGATTCTCACTACCAGAATCCTCTGTTTGGGGCAGATTTGGCTGATTGCTCTCTAGACTTGCTGCACAGCTCTCCTGGTTTGGAACTTCTGTCTCTTAGATTCCATACCCTCCTCTTTCTTGGTTTACTCTCTTATGAGTTTCTTTAAAAAGGTGCTTAGAAGATGAAATTGTGAAAATGTCTGTATTGCATCTTCATACATGACTGATATTGGATATGGGTGGATAGATATTTATTTTCTAATGAATATTTTATATAATTTAATTTTAATCTTGATACTATAAAAAGCCTGTGATGATATACCTAGGTTTATGCCTTTTAAAAAGGTCATTGGTATCAGATACTTCCAACTTAAAGAGTCATGGCCTTCAGTGTCAGAAAATTGTCTTGTTATTTTGTTAAAAATTTGTCCATTTTTTGTGTGCTCTCTGGAATTATTGTTTGTTAGATTTTGAACCTCATGAATTTTTCCTCT